TTATCGTATACGGATCGTGAAAGTTATAGCAGAAACGTTTTATGAAACCAAGCATGTTGTTAGCTCTGTTAATAATTGTGTTATAATGATCGGTGAAAGTAAGTTTTGAGTCCAAAATAACACCTAGATCCCTGACTTTATCACACTTTTCTACGGTATGGTTTCCTAAAGTGATTGTTATATCGGGTAGGGTTCGTTTTCTACTAATGGTAATTGAGTTACATTTTTTATATTTAATTGTAGCAGGCTTTTTTGGCACCAAGTATGGAATATCTGTATTTCCTCTTTGAATGTGATGATGTCTTTGGCATCTTTTATTTCCAAAAAAAGTTTAATGTCGTCAGCATAGATTAAAACTTTCAATTTCTTAATAATGAAAGATATGTCATTGACGAAGAGAATAAATAAAAGCGGTCCTAAATGGGAGCCTTGAGGAACTCCAGAAGTGACATCAACGGGATTTGATGTCTTTCCTTTGTATTTTACTATTTGATGGCGGTCAGTTAAATATGATTCAAGCCACTTGAGGAGTGCGTAATTAATTCCCATTTTTTGAAGTTTAAAAAGAAGCATGGGTATGTCAATTCGATCAAACGCTTTGCTGAAATCTGTATACAACACTTCTACATGGTTTCCGTTATCCATTGCATTCAACGAATAATTAATTAATTCGAGCAAATTCGTAGTTGTTGAACGGCCTTTAAAAAAGCCATGTTGCATAGTAGTTATTCTGTTTTTAATTTGAAGAAAGAGTTTTTCATTTACAATCGCCTCGAAAAGTTTCGGAATGCAAGAGATAATAGCTATACCACGATAATTACGTATGTCAGATTTTTTGCCCGATTTAAAGATGGGCACTAAAAACGAGTTTTTCCATATTTTAGGGAAGTTTCCGGATTCCAGTGACATATTGAAAATCCAAAATAATGGAGCAGTAAGTTCAGTTGCTAAAGCTTTCATAAAAACTGGCGGAACACCGTCAGGGCCAGGACCTTTAGATGCATCTAAATTGTTTAAACCCTTTAAGATATCATGAACCTTGATTTGACTTACGCTGATGTCACTTGAAAATTCTGGATAAGATTCAAAATATTCACGGTCACGGTCCTCTTCTGAAAACGTAGTATAGATTTCTTGGAAGAAATTTGCAAACAAATTGCATATATCATCCGAGTTTTCACCTACCCTATCGTCCAAATGCATCTTTGATGGAAAATTATCAGATTTTAATTTGGTTTTCACATAATTGAAGAATTTCCTAGGACAAGATTTTATTTCAAGTTCAGTTTTTAAATTGTACTCCTCAAATGCCACATTCACGGCTAAATTTAACTGATCGCAAATGTCTAAATAGTATGCCAAAGTTTCTTCACTATTATATTTTTTATAAAATTTGTGCGCTTTTTGCTTTTGATTTTTTAAATTTTTCAGTTCCCTGTTGTACCAAACCGGATGTTTTGCATGACTCTGACGTCTTCTTCTTTTAGTTGGCACTTCTTCAAGTATTATTTCAAGCAACACATTGTAGAATACGTCAACTGCACTTTCAACATTTCCTGCAGTTCTTAATATTGCTTGCCAATCGACAATGTTCAATCTATTTCTAATGTTATCATAATTTGCTGAATTGTAATCAAAGATTTCATCAAATTCGCAGTCGTTGGTTCTTTCATTTATGTGAACGAATAAAGAATATTCTATTGCTGTGTGAAACATTTCATTTCTCCATATGGGACTTAACGATTCAGTCACACAGAAATCTTCATAAGTATTTGTTAATAAAAGGTCTAAATAACAATTTTGTTGATTTTTCACATGGTTAATTTGATTAAGTCCTAAATTTGCAATTTTGTCAAAAATGAAATGGAGTGTTTCATTTTCCCCAACGACTGGAAGTAAGATGCTTTCATTGTCCATATCAGAAATAAAGTCAACATTGCGTTGGTTAAGGTCCCCATATATATGTACTTTTACTTCAGGGGGTAATCTAGACAAAATTTCTTCCGCTTTTCCAAAAAACTTATCATACGTGTCCTTATCAGCCTTATATGCCTCTCACCCCAAAAAGCCTGGGCTCAATCCAAGTTGGCACCGCCGGGATTTTCTGAGGCCTCAAATCTCTGATCCTGCCTTCCTTCCCGGTCCATGAGTTGATGGGTCGATACCCGAGCAAAGCTAAAGATCAAATTGAAATCAAAATTTGCTGTTATGATGTAACTTATTTTGAATACTACAGTTGATCTCATTTTGGTTGGCTTTACGTGATGAGAGCAAAATTTTACACTGTTGAAGCAAACGGAAAACTAATCCTGCTTTCAATGAAATCAATTTGATTACTGATTTTGCATTCATAATGTTCTACTGAATACGGGCCTGGAGTAAATGGTTACCATTCATGTTTCTCAAGCTGAAAGACTTGGGCTCCAATCTCACCCCGGGCAAGTCACGAATGACCTAAAATGTGTTAAACGAATCAAGAATCATTAGTTCAACGACAGATGAATTTCAATTAAATTTTAAACAAGACGTAAACAGCAAAACTTCAAGTTAAGTTGCTTTCATTTAAAAAGTCTTGATTGCATAATGAAAGCACAATATGATATCAGACTTATGTCGCAACATTTGAAATCAAAATGAGTTTTCATTATGATAGGAACTGCACACTTTAATATCGATTTGCTTTCATTTTGTTAACCGACTTTGCTCGGGTAGGTAGGGTCCAGGTGTGGGAGCTGCCTTACTGGCGTCGGTAGCATTCGTACTCAGTAAAATTTCTTCTCACACAAAAATATAAAAATAAAAATGTAGTCGAATATCTTCTCTCTAAGATTCATCGAAGGTTTGTAAGAGTTTTCATAGGCAAGAATAAGAGGAATCCTAACATTTGATTTCTGAATCAACTTGCTGCGTCCCAAGCTTCGTGATCTGTATGAAAACAGAATGTTTTTCGATCACAAATGAGCGTTTTTAATGTACAATGTTCTGAGTTGAGGGACGGGGTGCGCCGCGTGGTTCGATAACTCCTAAACAGCCGTTGATGTTTAAATTGTGGTTATGCGTAAAACAGGAGTGACAGATAGTGGGAACCTTATAAAAGTGTTCTAAATGCAACATATAGTTCTCGCAATAATGATTAATGCATATTTTTGGTTTTCGGTAACATCTAGTTAAAGTATGGATGACTGTCATCACAAAACTGAAAAAAAGTGCTTTGTTGTAGGAAAATTATTAGTACTGCTATTATTTTGAACAATTTTACCTGGTGTCTCACTTTCCGGCAGGTGCTTTCAAATATTTAATATTTTTTAGTAAAATTGAACATATTTGTAGTTCTTTGGCGAACGTTTCAGCTCAATTGATAATAAGTTAACAAAGTTACATCATGTCAAAGTTGACCATTTTGTATGAAAATCGGCATGCGCTGCTATTTTATCGAACACAGCTGTACCTTGTCGGGTATATTCTTATCACTGCGACCATTACTTTGATAATAACATTATTATATCTGAACGGTGATTTTTGACAGCTGACTTCGTGTAGGATTGAATCAGTTCAAAGACAGATGTTACCCTTTTTGATGTTGATTGTTTTTCATAACCGGGAAAAACCGGGGATTGAAAAATTGAGTTTGAGTACCCGAGCAGAGTATGAAAACAATCTGAAAACATAATTTGATATTCTTATATAATGTTTCATGATAACATAACCTGACATAGTTGGAGATGCTTAACGTCAAATATCAGACTTAAAGTGGACAGTTTTTCACGATAGAAATTCAAGCATGAAGTAATAAAACATGATTAGTAAAAGTTTATTACTTGTCAACCCTGAGGTCGAGTTATCAGAACTACAATGAGATCTAAATAATGCATGAATATTATCGAAATAATAATCCATCTTGGCATCACTGAAAACTAATTATGTTGTCGGTATTTTCGGTAATAATGATCAAAAAGAATAATCAATATATGTTTGGGGAAATTCCACTACGTGTGTGCACGAAATTGGAGCACCATGGAATCCTTTATTCTCTTACAAAATTGCTTACGTACGTCTGTACTTCAAAAGAACGAGAAACAATCATTCAGGGATATAAATAACAAGCAAATATATCATGTACCGTATATGTTATAGGGGTTGTTATTCGTAAACGTCAGCGTTACCAACCCGAATTTTTTTTTTCTAAAAATAATGGGAAAAAATATCAAAAATCCAAGAAAAATATTTTTCTATCTAATGATGAAAAAAAATGGACCCTCAGCAAAACCGAAAGGTTGTTTTTTTGTGGTTTTTTGAATTCAACTTTATGTCATGATAACTTACAAAAAATGTTTTTGCATGTAAATTTTCTTTAAAAAATTAAAAAAAATTTGATTTTTTATATCTTTTTCCGATATTTTTAGATAAATCAAAACGTGATTTTTATTATCGGACCGGTAAACTTCCCCTTAACTTCTTAAATGGGACTTTGCATCGAAGGCTTCGTTTGTTAACGCCATTAACAACCCTGGTTATTACAGACAAATCCCAGAGAAGGCATGTCAAAAAGAACCAACTAAAACTCAAAAAATAAAATAATAATATGTGACATATTATCTAGATTCCAAAAACTAAAGCTTGACAGTTTCTAAACCATCCCAACTATCGAATGGAATTCGGTAGAAGGGATAAGGTTGCGTTCCAACTAGCGAATGATTACTTTTATTTTCAAGAATATTCAATTAAAAACTGTGTTGAAACTCCATAATTATCAAAAAGGTCGATATGAACTCGACTTTTATTTTGAGGAAAAATTATCAAAATGTATGTGTTATCAATATTCTACCAAAAAATAGTTGATACCATTTTGAAAATATGTAACTATGTTGTAACCCATACTTAATCAATTCAGTTTGATAACACGTTTTGTTTTATTTTTCAATGATTGTTGAGTAGTTTACTCAATATATTTGTATTGGGCACGTTAATTGACATAGTTTATTTTTCTTCTCTGTTTGTAGGGCACCTTCCGGCTAGCATGCGAACACGTCCTAAAGTCACTGAAGAAGGGACGCGAAACCTTACTCACACTTCTGGAAGCATTCGTCTACGATCCCCTGGTAGACTGGGCAGTTAGTGAAGATGGTGCCACGGGTGGCTTCGCTGTGTCTACCTATGGCAACCGTGAAGGATTCAACAGTGAACTTCGTCAGGCAAAAAAGCAGCTGGAACGTGAAGTGAACCGCGATACGTTAGCTATACGGTTTTCGGAAATCAAACCAGGATGGATCCGCAACCGAGATAATATCTATCAGAAACTGCTACTGATGGAGAGTTTCCTGCAAGAACTGCAGATAAACCGCACAGCCCTGGCTGAAGCTGAAAAGCATCGTGATTCTTTGTCGCGCCAGATACAGCTGATCAGAGAAGCTGAATCGTTGAATTCGGCAATCGGAAGCCATCCCTTAAACACCTTGTCTCAGAGATATAGTGTTTATAAGAATATCGTTGAAGATCATAAATCGGCAAAAAAGGCATTGCTGGGTAGGATTTCCGAGAGTGAAAAAACTCTGGACGGTTATCAAAGTTTCGTCAATGATGTAGATAATGGTAAACTTCAAGAGTATCTAAGAAGCGTCAACGCAAACGCAGAGGAATATGGCAGTTCAGAATTCGAGCAAGTGAAGGAATTTCTGGATCAGTCGAATCTTCGCGATACATTCCTCCAAGCAAGTGCGTGCCGGCATGAGTTGAACGAATATACCTTCCAAGCCACGGTGCTAGTAAAGCGTGCGCTCGAAATTTTGAATCAATTCAGCGCGATTATCTGCTATTATCCGAAAGATTTTGAACATAGCCATCGAGACTGCAAATACGTCTACTGGTGCAGAAAAATTATCGACGAAGACTCTCCACAAGCTTGTCAAGAGGTAATGTACGATGCTATTCATCATAAATCTTTACTATAGTTAGGCTTAATCATTATAGGTGTTTTAAAGGCGATTTTGTTTATTTTTAAACCATTTTGCTTAGCGCGTTTTCGATCATTTTTAAATTTTCATCGTATGCATTTTACATTTTTAGTTCTTTTTGACGTCCATTCTTAATACAGTTTTTTTAATGAGTACACTTGAGTCGTTTTCACGCGGATTTCGGTTTATAAGGCCACCTTGGCGTTTTTTGTGCCATTGCAGAACGATTGTATAGCGTTGTAAGGCCATTTTAAACGTTGAAAAGATTGTCTACGTTATTTCAGCATGTTTGGATATATTATAATTTTTCATAACGGTAATTGCATTCAAAATTATGTAGTTTTAAAGAGCGTTTTGGCATTGTAAGGTAATGTTGATACCTTATGTTTTCAAGATATGCTTGGCAAAAAATTAGCGTTATAGAGTGGATTTAGCAGTTATGACTATACGTTCCTATTGTGGTGTGTTCCAATTATGGCATATGGGAATCCCATAGGCCATAATTAGAACATACCATAATAGGAACGTATAGACATAACTAGTACACCCACCCTTATCCTCTGTTTGTTAGGCGACTTAAGAGTATATAAGTCACATTAGGCCATGTTAGCGCTTTTAAGCCATGCACACATTTGTTGTGTAGACTTTCTTGGACAACAGCTGAGAGTGAACTAATTTTAATGCTTTCTACCCTTTTATTAAATAAGAGTTCAGTTTCTTCAGCGGAGGTTGATTAATCTAGTTGTTTTTTTTTTGTTTTATTGCAGGTGACACGCAACTATGAGCAGTTCCTGACAAAGTTTAGGCAACACTCCTGCGGACAGCAGATTCTGTCTTTCTCGTACCAACTTACTAACATAATCTCGGATACTACATTCAAGATGTCCGACCTGGTTAGTTGTCACGCTCAGGAACTGAATGAAAGTATCATACCGATTGACCAACTGTACGAGAATGCTTTGTCTACAATTAATACTATAGCGCTGGGGAACACGAATGGTCGCCAAACGTTGCTGTTTGCCGGATTACAGTTGTGCATGGATTTGAATCGAAACTATTTATTGATGGAACAAACGGCATCCACTGCTGGGGATTCGCTTATCGATTTACATCTGAATGATGACTGGTTCTTGCCTGAATTCTATTTGGCAATAACGCAGCTGAACGCCTTGTATCAAATTCTGTTCGAAAAACATTCACCGAAAGCCTCGAGTGACAGTTACACCATAGGATTGAGCTGCCTCTCCGCCTGTGTTGGAATCTATGACCACCTACACAGTATGAATGAATGTATCGCGCGGGAATTTCTCTCCGATACCATGCGAGGTATAATTTCGGAAAATGAAAGTGTCATAGACATGATTTCTGCTGTGTCCAATCTCCAGACGGATATAATCCCACTTTCGGAACTACTGAATGAGATAAATATGCACCTACAGTGCGTGGTGATGAATGTTCCCTCGGCACATACACATGCGCTAGATATAGTTGAAGAATTGAAACGGAAACTGGCCTCGCTTGGAGATCGCTACCGCAACCAGGAGGTTCCATCTGAGGGAGCAAAACTGTACCTTACACTTCATCAATTCTTTAACGACCTACTCACCAAACAGAAAGATCTTATGCAAATCATAAACGAGAGATTTTTAGTGATTCGAGAGGCTGATTACATCGATCAAATAAAGGATTCCAAAGATTTAGCGGTAAGCGCATAACAATTTCGCAAAAAAAAAATATGTTCAACATTGTTTCTTTCCTACTAGGTGCTCATCTTCAATCAATCCACCTACAACGTATTGGAGGCCATCTTCGTGGTGAAACGTGTGCAGACTATGGTCGAATTTTTCACTTCCTGTCTGCAGATGGCTTGTGCGTTCAAAGGAACCGGATTGACGCCAGCTTTCAACGATGATGCTCTAGTTCGGCCTGTTCGTAAATTCATTGCCGATTTCATCTATCACTGTATGCTAGGCATCGGTCCATCTGCAGCTGGGATGGCCATCTATGGTATTCTCTTGCGGATCAATCCTCAAATAAAACAAGATAGTGAGATGCAACTGCAAGTAACGGGTTCGGATAGGTTAATCCTATCGCATATGTACAGTGAAAATATCGACTGTATGATGAATGCAGCACAGATCAGTGGATTAGAACTGAACCAGGCCACCAACGCGTGCTTGCATTTGAGTTTTACATGGAGGAAAATGATGAGAGTAAAATTACTTTCAGAACGTATCCTGACGGAACAAATTTCTATGACCAGAACGCAAGTGCTATTCGTCGCTCACAGTTGGCTACACGAAATATCGACTGCAAATAGCTCAACGACTATATCACAAAGCGATTTGACTATCTATGCCGATCGTTCATTGATTCTTGTTCAGCTAGAAAACTTTGTTGAATCATTGGCATCATCCAAAGGGGCAATTCAAAAGTTTCGAGACGAAATCCTTGCCAACACCAATGCAATCCTCCATCGCTTAAAATGGGCATCTGGAGCCAATCCTGAACTTGTGCATTTGTTGAAATCATTCGAGCACACTTCACTGCAAAAGAGAGACTTCCTGAATGAGCAGCTGCTCTACTTGGATATTACATTGAAACATTGTACCTCAATCTTCCACTACCAAATTGTACGTATGCAAATGAACAGACAATCGGAACAAGATAAAGAATTTGTCAGCATGGTTGAGCAATATCGGAAGGCCTGCTTGAAACTGCACTCTTGTTCGCAAATGGTAAACCAAACCGAGATAGCACTTGTAGAACTGTTGGATCCGGAGGGGCAAATCGATCACATCTGGCTGAGTAACGTAAAAGCTTTGATAGATGATATGACGGATCAAGTGCAAACTAAGATTGCACAAACGGAAAAAGTAGTTCGAAATGCCCAGGACAAATTACACATGAGTGCAAATGAATTGAAGGAGCTCATTGGTGCTCATCATTCACTGGCGACGGATATAAGAAATTTGCTGAAAATGAAGCTGAAAATGGAAACTACTCCAGCCTTACGGGAGTATCTGCTGCGCTATAAGTCATTTCTGGAAACGGTTTCCGAGCTTTATTCTAACGTTCTGAGCAAAGATTTCACTGATGGAATGGTGCTGCAAGCCAAGGAACAGGTCCATGACGCAATGTCAAATGTTCATAAAATATTCGATCAGCTTTTTGTGTTTGAGCAAAGCGGAAACTCTGAAGATGAACTAGGCATGATGGTTGAAGATGAAGGAACCGAAAAACTGAGTGCTGAAACGATGGAATCACCCATGAAAAGGGACCACCATAAAGGTAATTGAATAGGGTACATGTTCTGCTGGAGGGGGGCGGGGAGATATGTGGACTGTAACGTAAGGACTGTAATGATTGTCAAGGGTTTTCTGGCAAATCTTGCACTTCCTTGCAGTATCCTTTGATACTTTGGTTTCTAATTGAGCACAATGCCCGCAAGCTGAAAGCCCTTATTCAATCACTGGGCAAGCTTGTTCTTCAGACTCAGTTTTGATTTTCTATTGATAAATTGGGTACCTACCGTTAACTTTTAGACAGCATGTACATAGGAGAAACATATGGAAATGTGATTTTCTCCTTCGGAAATAAAGATAAGAACGCCATACAAAAAATGTTGTAATAATCGTTAAACTTGATTTCTGTTTAACAAATAATCGTTTAACTTGATTTTTGCAAAGTTTTTCGGAGATCGATTCAGTAGAAGTTCTCAAAACAGACGAAAATCATTGGTTGATCATCGATGATCACCTAAGAGATACATACATTTAGGCGTTTCCCGGGCTAGTTTCTGTGTCGATTAAATTCGAATGTTTTATAAATTCTTCTGATTGTGATATTATTAATTAATTTACACTTAGAAATTAATACCGACATCGGTTATTTTACCGAACTTTCAACAACTGAGCTGTTCGGTAAAAATAAGGCATTTAATTCATTAGGAAAGCTTCGCTATAATGGCAAGACTCGATTTTTTAAACAAGACTGACAGTATTTTGAAATTAAAATTTAGTAAAACTAAAGCTCTTGAAATGAGGGTCAAAGTTTTAACGAACGTTCAGCTGTTGAAAGTTCGTTAAAGAATTACCGAAGCCGGTAATAATTTCGGTACCCTTACTTCTCTGTACTGTACTAATTTATTTACTACATTTTTTTTTCCTCAGCACACCGTACTCAAAAAGAGCAGAAACGTAATGCATACGCCGTATCGGTATGGCGTCGCATCAGAATGAAGCTGGAGGGAAGAGACCCGGACCCGAATCGTCGTTGTACCGCTCAGGAACAGGTCGACTGGATGATACGGGAAGCGATGGATCCGGACAACTTGGCTGTACTTTACGAGGGGTGGACTCCTTGGGTGTGAATTCATGCAATGGAAACAGATATACTTGGCCGGCTAAACTCTTCATACATCAAAAACCACAAATGACACGTGGCGAATGATATTTCGCGTTAACATGCCAGTTTTGGTTTAAAAAATCTTCAGTCAGTAGACTGCTTACCATCGACGCGGGAGTCATCTATCTGGTAACGGCAGTAGTGGCACTGCCTTAGCAGTTTAGAGCTGCCTAAACAGTGGCACTAATTTCCACAACACGTTGACCAGTCTGCACTGCAGCCTTACCTGAGAATTTGTTCGCTGTAACAAGAAAATCCCGTAGAAAATAAATGTCGGGTAGAATAAACCCATTGCATTACAGCGAATGGTCTTAGGTCATCTAAAATCCCCCACAAACAGAAAAATTATAGCATCCATAAAGTAACTCGCAATTTTCCTACCACTATCAAAATGCAATTGAATGTTGTCTCCTCTCAGTACCAATTTTCACAAGCCGCGAGTAGGCTGAAAATACCCGCCGACTTTCTTATAACATCATAGAAGAACCGGAAAATAGTTGGCGGGTAGATGTAACAGAGCGATTCAAGGGAATTGACTCTAGAAACATGGTTGGAGGAGATCGATAAACATTACATACATTATCAACATCAATGGTCCTACTGAAATTGCATATTCACAACACAACAATGGAAAACTTCTAAACGTTTAGCTGTCATCTTTTATTTTTTCACAAATTTTAACAGGTGCTTCAGTTTTTTTTTTTTATCTTAGGTTTTTTTTTAAGAATTACATTTTTGGTCCATTATACAATTTCTATCGTTCCGCAAAGTTTGCAAAATTTTTCCTGGTGCTTATAGAAACATAAAATTAGATTTCCTTTGACTTCTCTTCTGTTTTTAGGTTTCATTCTTGTTATAAATCGTATGGCAGTTTGTAAAACATCAATACGATTATAATAGAATTGATTTTGTCTTTGCGCTTTCTGAAGACTTTTGAAAAATGAGTGCGATTTCGTAAAAACTGGAACAATATAAAGGATGAGTTTAACAAGCTTGTTTTTGAGAAGCGGTTATTAATATTCGAATGATATTTTACTTAGTTTTTATTATTTTTCCAGTTATTATAAAAAGATGCATCATTTGAACCCATATAACTTCCCATATCCTTCCCTTGTGTTGGAATATTATTGTTTTATGATTTTGCTCCCTATTGAAAAATTATTGTTTCGTTCCGTTACTAATATCATAATTCTAAGCTAACGTCTTTATTTCGTAAATAATAATTCAAGATAGTCATCAGATAATTGCAGTAAAAATTACAAACAGAACACAACAGAAAGACAGAAACTAAACATACCTATATGAGTTTCTGACAGCAAACAGCGCACTCTATTCTTTCGTTCGTGTCTCAAAATCTCAAAATAAATACATTGCTTACTACTACACGTATTTTGTATTATATTCTGCGATGACAAATCCTCAACCTTGAAAGCACAACTGCTTGAGCGTACCGGTGATCATCTCTTTTTTCCAGTGGTGGCGGGGGGAATACACCTCACCATCCCTCGCCAACGAGGGAGTTTGGTAGAGAGAGATGATTAAACCGATTTGTACCTTTCTAAAGTTGTCCTTGCTCGTTTTCTACTCTCTATAGCCGGAGAACTTCGAGATTTGGGCGTAATTGCTTTTGTAAACAAACACGTCAATCGCCGATTTCTCGCGAAGAATAGCTCAATCTCGGGATCAAATTATGCCACATGCTAGATGAATTATTCCTCAACCTGTATGTGACGCCCCGAACCGTCCAGCCATCCTTTGCCATTTTTCTTGGTTGTTACGTCCCAACCGGAACTTTATGAACTTTTTTTTTCCACTTTTTCAATTTTTAAAGGTATCCGGATTTCGAATATTGGTGGTATTCATTATGGGTCTTTCTATCTCAAGCAAAGATACCAGATTCCAAGATCCTGGGTACCCAATTGACGGCCTACAACTTTTTAAAGTTTGTTTTTACATAGGTGAAATATAAAAAAAATGTGTGTTTTCTTTAATCGTGACAATTTTCTATTTTTATTCCATCTGTAACAATTGTTTTTCGTTGTTTTCAGAATTGTTGAAAAAAAAAACAGCCAAGAACAAACCATAAAAAATAAATAATAAATAAAAAATAAGCATATCAGTTGCAGTGGAGGTTTACCGGACATGATGAAGCACGAGGTTAGAGAGAGTCATGTAAAGAGGTCAAAGCATTTGGTACCAATAACACCTAAACTGGCCAAGTTTGTCGGATCATCAAATGCGAGCAAGTTAGCGGAGGTGCAGATATGTGCATGGGCAGTGGAGAAAAACAAATCGGCGCCAGATGTTTAGGAGTTGGCAAAACTGCCGAAAATAGTATTTGCGGATTCGGAGGTGTCGAAAAACATTTTCCTGGGCCGAACTAAAACTTCCGCCATTGTCGAGAATGTGCTCGGTGAATCCCACCATCAAGAGCTCGTCGAAATGATGCGAAATACTTGCTTCAGCTTGCTGATCGACGAGTCCACCGATATAGCATGTAAAAAAGCTTTGGTGATGGTAATTAGAGTGAATTCGTGGGAAAGAGAACAACTTGTCGTAAGAGACCAATTTTACCAAGTTCTTGAGATGATTCAAACTGTTGCTTCAACCATCTTTAGCAAGATTGTGGAGGTAATTGATACGGTTGAGGTACCATACAAGAATAATTTAATGGGTTTCGCGGCAGACGGCGCTAACGTCATGTTTGGTGGTAAACATTCCGTAGCAGTATTGCTACAACAAGTCTGCCCAAGGCTCGTCATGATCAAGTGTGTTTTCCATTCGTTTGCGCAATGTTCCGCATACGCCTGCAAACATATTCCTGGATATGTGGAGCGTGTCTGTCGAGACATCCACAACTTCCTAAACAATTCTCCACTGCGGACGGCAAAGTTCAATGAGCTGCAAAACATAATAATGAAGCCTTTGAAAATGCTCCACCCATCGACCACACGGTGGTTATCTTTAGAAGCAGTCGTCAACAGAATGCTGGAAAGGTACGAAGTGCTGAAAGTTTATTTCAGCTTCCAAGATGCTGCTGTTGACACAAAGCAGATCGAAAAAATGAAAGGCATTCACGATAAACTATGCGATCCATTCACCTTGCTTTATCTACACCTGCTTGAGTATGTGCTGCCAAAGATTAACAGATTGAACAAGATGTTCCAATCCGAGAATCTGAAGATCTACCAACTTCATTCAGAAATTGAACGGCTTGTGCGTACTATCTTGAACAACTTTATGCGACCTGACTACATCGTCAAAATAACAAATGTCGTTGATGTTGTTCTACAACCTAACCATTATTGTGAGTTAGACTAGATGTCAAGGTGCAGAACTTGCTTGAGAAATATGATGGCAAAGCTCCCGCTGAAAACCTTCATAGCTTTAAAATGGCAGTAATGAGTTTTTACATTTCCATCGTAAATCAAATAAAAAACGCCTGAATCTCGATGATGAAGTATTGACTAATTTGGCAGTACTGGATCCCAAAAATGTTGAGCGTAAAACTCACTAAAGTGCCTAAAATCTCTTCAAACACTTCACGCACATACCAACTATAGGTATTCTTCAAGCACTAGACGATGAATAATAAATATAAAATGGGAAGATGATACAGATTTTGAAAATGGCGTTCAATTCTGGGGTACTGTGTTATCCATGAAAAGGATGGATGATATCATGACCTACCCAAATTTTCGAATTCCTCATTCATCTGCATGCGTTGAACGTATATTTTTATCGTATAATCTTATCAAAACTAAAACGAGAAATAAGCTGATTACGTCAAGTATGCAAGGAATACTTTCTGCTAAAGAATACGTGCAGACGCACAAAGCAACTTCTGGAGTTGCAGACGTAACCGAAGCTGCTAAGGGTCGCTTCACAAAGGAAATGTATTCTAAAACTGATTAATCGTTATCTATCGAAGAGAGGCAACTCCATAATAAAATGATATCTAAACTGAGGAGAAAAATACACAAAGAAAAAATATTAATGATCTGCTCGAATGCTTCGATGCGATTCTAACAAATGCTGCCAAAGATCGGTATAAAATTGTGCGATCGGTATAAAATTTATTGGCGAGCCGAACAAACAAAACAAAAGAGGTTCCACTCATTTGAGTTCAGCTATCGTCGAGAAAAGTAAGTAAGTTTTACTGAATTATTTCAAAATTTAAAGTAATGGGTATTTATTGGATGAGTCAAACCATTTTGATAATTATCAGAGTATAAAACTTATACATTTGACGTATATAGGTGAAAAAAGGAAAAAACGCAATTTTATAGGTTAGTTTTCCTAATTGCCCGAAATCTCGCTTAATATGAGTCATAGAGTTTCGATGTCTTGGACAACATTTCTCAACAGTTCAAATTACACAACTTTGCCGTAAAAACCATTCGGCTAAAATGCTCCGTTCAAAAGATAGACCTATGTGGCGTAAAAATAAACTAATATGAAACTTTCAAAAGATGGCACTTTTAGTGTTGAGTAACTTTGTAGAATATTGTATCGCTGTAGAAAGCAAACCAACGGCGCTAGAGGTTTTGGCCACGCGAATAGCTTCGCTGCCCCACTGTGCGGCGTATACGTTAAAAGCAATTAATAAAAAAGATAAATTACGATTACACGACAAATGAAATGAGGTCGACTCAAAGTTGAGATTAGTTCACTCATATTCTTGAAAACGTAGTTAACTGAGTAAAACTTTCCGAGCTTTTACAGAAATGTGTTTTCTGATACGAGCAACATCTCGATGTACATATGAAATTAGTATAGGGGCTGTCGATAAACTACGTAGACAGTTTAGGGGGGGGGGAGGGGGTTGACAATTATCCACGGCCCATACAAATTTTAAAAAATTTGTATGGACAATTGTCTACGCAGGGAGGGTCAAGAATCCCAAAAAAACTGTCTACGTAGTTTATGAACAGGCCCATACGAAAAAAAGTTTTCATGTAGTTTCCATTGGGAATGCACCTAATATTTTTTCCATTCACAAAACCATAGATATCTATCTGAAATTTCACATAACATTAATGTGACCGCATGAGTTCTATATGATAAATCACTTAAATTTCATTCAACACATAAGGAATCGTCCATTAATTATGTCACACTTTAAGGGGGAGGGGCTTTTGGAAACTGTGACGAGCCTTACAAAAAAAAAATGAGGTCCATATAAAAAAATGTGACAAAGTGGGGAGGGGGGGGGGTTGAAAATGGGCCAAATTAGCGTGACATAATTAATGGACCTTCCCTAAGGTTCATGTGATTTTGTGGTGCAATTCCCAATTATGA